GTTTCTGGCTCAAACATTGCAAACGTGTAGTTCTGTTTTTTTTTTTTAATATAGCATTTCACCTTTCCACAGGCGTGGAAGTGTTGTGCCTTGGGAACACATATTCTAGCAATGGTTCCAACTTTGGATTTGGAGAAGTCTTGCAAGATGCTTGCTAGATTCCATGGGTTATTTGTTGTTTTGATTTCATTGCTCTGCAGGCGGCGGGAACATGGTGAAAACAAAATTTGTGACCCAGTCGTGTTCTCACAAGAACTTGATTTCATTGTCCGAAACCTTTTGCTTGAAGTGACATTTTAGGTCGGACATGAAGATTGGGTTGATCGGAGATGAGGACACGGCTTGCACCCCAGTCCCAGATATCGTTGTCGTTCGCCAATACTTTTCCACCATCAGCCATTGAAATTGTCAGGTCACTGGCATGCTTTTGGCAGGTATTGGCCATGTTGATGGGCAAGGAGTGGAAGCAGATGGGGGAAAAGCATGTGGGTTGAGACCGTTCGGCGATGCCATTGCATTTTTTGCTTCTGGGCGCAGGCAAGAAAAATTTCCTGGTGGTCGATTCCAAAGTCCACATCAAGGAACTGGGGTGTATCTGTTTCTCCGACCATAAGTCAAAATTCTTGTCGCTGCAGGACATAGAAGAACACTTCCATGAACTTACTGCGTGTTTGCCTTGGTCATTTCGTTAGGTGACTGTGATTTTTTCTAGAGAAAACCTGTGTGTCCTTTTTTTTGCATGTTTTTCATGCCGAGCACCCTTGTTTGCCGGTGGGACATGAGGCGGAAAGATATCTCCATGATTCTGATCACGCAAGATTGCGCAGAGCTGTGCACAGACTCAGAATTGAAGGAACATATCATGAACAAAACAAGGTGAACAGGCGTCAGGCACCACATCGTAACTTGTTTTTGGGAGCAGAAGGCATAGAAGGGGTTGATTCAACTGGTAGATTTGTACATTGACATGACATAGGCTGTACGGGCTATACGTTGATATTCTTGCGCTATTTCGGCCACATCCCTGTCGGAGCCATATTTGACTCAGGATTCGGAGAGCCGTAGATGAGTTCAGCCACAGCGCACAGATGATCCCAACAGTGTTGGAGATTCCCTCCAAGGAGAGGGTCAACGGAAACTGACGACCAAGTGTAGCGAACAGGGTGAGCGAAGAGGTGAAAGCTTCGACAAAGCAGAGTCACCATTATATATTCCGAACTCCATGGAACATGACCTTTTGGAAGTGCGTGTGTTCACATTGTTCATTGCGTTTCTGAACCTTTTCACAAGGCCCAGGGTTTGGCTTCTCAACACAGCTTGTGGCGAGGACACTCCTTACGATCCTCGAAAAGATGGAGCTGAATACTCAGAGAGGGTTTGTGCAGTAGATTCCATGCCCCTATACCTCCCTCTATTCGCTGAGGGCCCGCAATTCTCAGGCACGTGCAGACAATCCACCGACCGATCCCTGAGAAGCAGGATTCGGAAGAACATCTTTCCTATTCTTCTCCTCGTCCCTGAGACATCCACCATGGTAAGAGCGACGCCTCTGTGACTCTGCAGAAGCGAAATCCACACTTCTGCGGTCAGCTCGCTCCGCCTTCTGAGAGCTTGACCTTCACAAGGTGGAAAGATTGACCCTGGGCAGTTGGGAGAAAGGCCGAAATTAAATGGCCTGTCGTCTCTCCCAACATCCCACAGGATTGATTTCTGGAACAACCAGGCTGATCGAAATCTTCTCAGATTCTACCATTGAACCACCTTTTTGGATACTCACGGCTGCCATGGCTGATAGCTTGGTGTATCTGAGGGAGGTGCGATGCAAAAACACGATTGAATTGGTTATCATCCAAGTGAAAGGGAAAGCTGCGGGCACTCTGATCTAATCTAAGCCATTGTGACACTAGCCAAGCCCAGTGTGACGCCTTGATCACTGAAGCCGCTGGACGCTGCCTCAGGTCATGCAGCGGGTTGCCTTCTTTATGCCTTCCGCTGGGGACTTGGCTGAGCCGGGAGAGTGTATGTATGTCCATGTTAAGGTCCATCCTCGAAGGACAAACAATGTGAAGCTGAGGCCATGGCATCCTTGGGCGTAGAGATCTGAGTTTTGCAACGGCCACAGCGGCCATCGGTCCTTCCTTTCGAGGAATGGCTGAAAGTGTTTCAGCGTTCGGAACGGCGCCCGTTCCTTCAGTCCGTCCATGGGCCGGGCTTGACCAAAAAAGCGTGTGGCGCTATTCTGCAGGAAGTTTTCTGTTTTTTTTTTTCAGTGTTTGAAGTGCTATGGAGCCATTTGTATATATATATATACACATAACTATACATATTCACTGTACTTACATACATATGTATGTATATATATATATGGCTTTCAAACGCTGCAGCTGCAGATCAAGCTTTGCCTGCATGATAGTGCCATTGCCGCGAAGCACGGCCAAGTTTGACATGTAGCGGGCAATCCGATGCTTAGAGGTGCCACTTGACGTGCCACTTGAGTTCTTCAGTCGCATGATACAATTGTGAAAAAAATCTTTTTGGCACCAAAAGCATCTAGGTACTATCGCATTGTTGAAGTTGACCTAGACCACATGACATCTCATTTTGAGACAACTTAGGGGCATGTGCCGAGCATGTTGGATGCGAACATAACATGACATGGGTTCTCAATGGCGAGCGCGCTACAGGCGGGTCTGGAACAGTTGAATGGCAATGTGCAGACTGGCCTGTCGTCAACATGTTGTAACTCGTGGTCAACTTCTTGAATTTACTGATTTTAGTTTACGTGTTAAAGTTTACAGTAGGATAGGACAGTGCACTTGACATACTGCACTTGGAATCCCCAAAGACAAGGATCCGAAACGGCGCTCCTTTGTTACGTTGGAGAATCAGCCGCATCCTTGGGGTTCGTCCCTTTCTGAGAATTTAAATTCAAAAAACAAATGCACCGCAAACCGGCGATTCCAAGCTTGCCACTCGCACACAGATAAGCAGGGCATTACACACACACACACCCGCGCGCGCGTAGCCGCTCCAGATATCCTGGCTTTCACAGACTTTCTCCCGCTTAGGCAGACCGCCCGGGGTTTGCCATTTGTGAGCGATGGCTGCTGCAGCGCCTTGGCAGCTGTGGTTCGAAGATGTACAAAGTCCTTCAACTAAGAAACACTTCTTTATCGCCAGATCGACTGTTGGCTGGTTTTTGGGGCCTTAAACTTCAATCTGGCCAAGTCTTCCTCTTTAAAGAGGCAGCTGTGTACCCAAGGCAGAGATGAACTGCACCGCCAGAAGCTTTGTGAACCAGGCACTGGCGAGTGTGATGAAACAGCTGCGCTCCACAGGCGCGCGTCCAATCGGTTGATTGAAAGTCAAGATGCGGGTTGTTGCCCTTTCCTTTACAAAAAACAACAAGTGCTGTATACAGTATGCAGATGCTCCAGGAGTACACGAGGATGCTGTCGAGAGTGAGCTGTCTTACCACTTTGACCCTGGCTATTCATTTGGCGAGCAGCAATCTGAGTGCAAACTCTTCGGCAACCAAAGGGTATGATGTTCATGTGCGGAGGCCGCAGCTGAAGGTCTTTGAATGCTTTTTTGTCTGAAGGATCTTGCTAGTTTTGTGTACCGCAGGAATCCAGCGGTGTCTTTTTGTTGGGTTATTTAGGTCATTCGTGTAGGGATCGCAAGAACATCCCAGCACCCAAGCCAGGCAAGCAGAGAACTGCCATCAGTTGATTCTTGCAAACTGCTTAGGCCTGCAGAAGCAGAGGAGTTCTGGGTTTGAAGGGAGAAGAGACAGGATTTGTGTTGGCTTTATTTTGTTTGAATCTCAGAGCTTTGGAGGGGTTCAGGAAACTTAAGCTCCATTCACTTCTTGGTACAACTCTTCTTCAATCGTGCTTAAACTTGTTGGTACCTTGTGGAGCTGGGAGCTAGTTTGGCATAAAGCCACTAGCACGAGGTGGATTTGTTTGGAATCCCGGCTCGGTTTACGAAAAATCCCCATGGCAGCAAGAAAGACCCTCCAGAATCAGTCCCATGCAACATGGCCAGATCATGTCACATGCAGCCTTTGTGCCATTGGGCCTGCCATGAGCATGACATGCAAACGGCCAAGGCCGGGCCGTTCTTTTTTGAGTTTGGTGCGAATCTCTTCTAAACTACTAATCTAAGGACAGTTTTAAACCAAACAACTTGGTTTATGAGTGGATGAAACTCCTGAAACACTTCGCAGTCAGTGGTTTGACCATTATCACACGACGGAAGCTAGCCGTACTTGTAGTGTGCTAAAGTTTCCCCTACAGCAAGTGATAACGATGGCCAGGGATTGCAAACAGTAGTTCAGCAGGTGCAGTTGATAGAATTCTGCACCAACTACAGTATATATGATAGATTAGTGCACTGGCGCACTGGAAGTGGTTCAAGTCCTTTCCAATAGTCTAAAACATGCAACGACAATCTTTGTCTTTTACATGTGGGAATGAATATTGCATCGTTTTTTGTAGGAAACAAGTGCTGGTTTGTTGGTAGAGGACTCTTACTTTGCCGCTCTTCCGGCCCCTTCTCTTTGGTTGCTGTCCTGCAAGTTCCAAATCAGTAAGTGGCTCCAATCTCGGACAAAAGATAACACCAGCATGACGTTTGTGGCTGCAGGTGAATGACATGCAGAGACACAATCCACTAGTTTTTGGCCACCAATGATAGGGGATGGTCATTCAGCTGCTGGATGGGGATTTTGAACCCACTGCTACCCAGTTTGGTGATTGACAATCCTAATCCCTCATGGCTAAGATATTGACAATAATAACACACTACTACTACCTTACAATATATCTGCTACTGTGCCCTGTGCCAGGCAAGCCTCACAGCTCAAGAGGTGCTGCTGAAGCAAATAGGCCAGGGTGCAGGTGTTCCGCAGGTTGCACTTTTTTGAATTGGTTGGAAGGTATTTCTTTCTTCGGGAAAGGCTTGCTCTGCTTGTAGTTTCCGAAATACTGAAGGTTTTGGAGTTGATCTTCACACAGAGGGTGCACTTGGTCGTGTCACAATTGCCAACATACTCTTTGTTCGGGCCATGGATTCTTCCACTTGTCCTTTGGTGGCATTGGCAACATGTGAGGCCTTGGCTTTGGTGGTGATCACTGCTTGATGCGCATGGGATGCCCTTGTCCAGTCTCTTGATACTATGCAACGGAAGCGCGCTATCCTAAGTATTGGCCTTCCCAAAGTCACAATGTTTTCAGAAGGCTTTAGGTTGGACCATTGGTGAAGTGTCTGGCTGGCTGGTTTAGACACTTGTCGTGAAAGCAATCTGGAACATGCCTTGAATACCCCTCATCTTGGTCGCTACCCTTTAAAAAGATACGATGGTGACGGTGTGTTGTCTGGTTGGCTTAAAGTCACCTGAATTCAATGGCAACGACACCGCGACTGCCGCCACTCATACATTGTCATCAAATATTATCAAGGAATGCTCCATTCCATCATGCAGTGAGTAGATGCAGGTGCCGGGAGTTGCTCAAGGATCATGAGCCTCGGGCTGGACAGAAGGCCTCGTTCATGCTTTGGAAACGTGTGGCTGAGAGCTTTGAGTTGTTTTTTTTGCTGTGGTGCACGCAAGCCCCAGTTTGATTGCGAAGTCTTGCATGCTAGGTAGAACCGAAGCCTTTTGGTTCAATTGAAGTCTTGGCTCCAACAGGGGCTGGCAGCCTCAAGGTTGTCGCCTGGCTTCTTTTTGCGCAAGCCATGTCAATGTGCACTGGTCGTGGTGCAATGCCCACTGGCACTGGCATCTACTCTTCGGTGCTGACTGTGATCTCCACAATTCCACCACTGCGATCCCAGCAGCCTCCGTCCTGTTTATTCTTTGTCAAAGGCCCTCGGAAATCAGCAAGGCAATTGGTATCAGAGCGTCACTTCTTCAGCAGTTTGATTGCCTTATTTGCCCCACTTGCACCGCTAGGACTCTTTGCCGCTCTTGCTTCTATTATGTTCGGCCGTGGTGATCGTTATCCCAAAGCAAAGGTCAGAGAAAGGGACATAGCACTCTTCCGGTTGCCAAAGACTTGACCGATCCTAAGATTTTGCCGCATATTTTTGCCAGCTTACATGGCTGTTCTCAGGCTGCCTTGGGGAGCGAAGGGCAAATGCTGTTTCTTCCACCAGCAAAGAATGTTGATCCATCCAAGCTTGAAGCTACACTCACTTTGCAAGAAGTGCCCAAAGGGTGCCGGGGCGGTTCAGTTGCAAATGTCCTTGGAAGCAAAGAAGCGAAGGCAGACTTTTCTGCTGACATGCTGAAACTCCTTGCCAAGGCCCATGGAGTGTACGAAAGTGATATTCACATTACTGACCTCCGCAAAGGCTCCCTCGAGTGTGACTACGTTGTCGATTCCCTGAGTGGGAGCACCAGTGTAAGCAGCGCTCCAACACATTTCAAAGAGAAACTCAGCGAGGTTCTCGGCGTGAACATGGCCAACTTCGAGATTGTGTGGAGCCTTCCATGCATTGGCTTCAATCCCAATGATTTTGATGAGGCTGGCAACAAGACAAACTGGGAAGGCCAGAAATTTGACATTGGACCCCCAGGCAACACGCGCACCTATCATCAGCCAGAAGGACGTGAGTGGGTCAGGTATGGTCTCAAAGTTTGTGGGTTTTTTGAGAGTGATACGTGGCTGAAGCCTTTCACTAAGAAACACGGGTTGTGGTATCGTGTGTTTCACGGTTGCAGGAACCCAGGTGAAAGCGCATTGAGCATCTACAAGGATGGGTTCGAGCCAAGCAGCAAGGGCACTTATGGACCGGGTGTATACTGCTCACCACTTATTGATCTTGCGAAGCAATATGCATTCAGGTTTGAGGTGCCTACAGAAGATGGTTTCGTGCTTGTGAACGTGGTGGTGCAAGCTGCCGTTAAGCCGGGGTGCATGGAAGAGCATGGAAGTGAGTGGTTGGTGAAGGATCCAAACCACATCAGACCATATGGCCTACTTATTCGGGAAGCTTAGAGGGTATCATAGAGAAGATCTCAAGAGTCTGGACTTTTGTGCTGAAAAGTGTGCGCCAAACTGCTAGAGCTTGGGATTTCGCTGAGCTGAGCTCTTGTGACAAGGGTGAGCCTGTGATTCTTTTGAGCCAGGTGTTTGGATGGCGGCAATTTGCGTGTTGAGCCGAGGCCTTGTATCCAAGTTTGGGTTGAAGTCCCATGACTTTGTGTAGCTCAGGGGGCACAATTAGGCGGCAAAATTGGATTTGGTGCATTAAGATGTCCATGTCCATGGTGCCTTTCGGGCGCTTGCACCTCCAGACTTCCCAGCGTGGTTCTGACTCCGCGAACAGTGGAATGCCGGCAAGGGTGTTCTCGACAGCCTTCTTGTTGCTTGGAGAGTGTTTACTGTATGACAAGGTGCCTTTGGATTCGATTGGTTTCTTGAGATACACTCTAGAGTCCGAAACAGGAGAATGTTTGTCTCCCACACTCCCTTGCACAGTATGCAACCCACGAAAGGCAGGAAGGTTGGTTGGCTAATGGTTAGCAGGCCTGGCCGTGGACGACTCTGTTTGTCAAACATTTGTGGCAACATGGCCTGTGATCCCGGAATGCAAGTCAGTACAGCACTACTGGCCTGGCACTAACGGGTCCAGGTTTTTCAGGATTTTCATCATCATTATCGACAATCATCAAATCTGTAGTCACGAAAGGTAGCTTGAGCTACCTGAGTTCTCCTTGCTTTAGCAAAAATGTATCACAATCAGGAGTTGGGATTGTGCATTGAATTTGGTCCTGTAAGAAATGATTCTGTTCGTCGGGGGGGGGGGCCCCCCTGGATCAAATCCACCCTGCGCCGGTTCACGCAGTCATGGACTTCTACCAGGGGTACTTGTGATTGCCTGCTACCTTTCGTTCACCCCCTCCTCTCTCAAGTTTTCAGTAACGCATCGCAGTGCCAGAGTGAACAGTTTTGACAAACTGCAGATCTTCAGGGAAGCTTATGCTTGCTTGGAATGACCTGCATGAATGAACAAGGCAATGAAGTGGCTACGAATCTTTGTTTGTTGAACTGCATGGATTGGTATTCCGTGGGACTTGCATAAGCTTCTGAGGCTGATCATACTGAAACCATTCGAGATCCGAGAGTGAGTGTCCAAGATTGCCGAATCCCCTCCACATCCCGAAATTCTCCAGCCAAAGAAGTTTTGCCCATATCCATTGAAATAAGGCTCCGGATGGAGTTCAAATCACCCTGGTCAGCTGACTAGATTGCTTTTGGTGTTCACCAAGTTTCTGGTACACCTTGATCTGTCAAGAGCTGCGGCCTTTGAGCGGTGTTTGTTTTCGTATCTCTAATAAAGGCTCGTCCACCCACCTATTTGTGGTGCAGTTGTGCATTTGTCCAGTCGCCAGGTCGCGGGTGCAGAAGCATCATGGATGGCAGGTGGAGAGAACTGGGGATTTCGGGTTGCCAGTATATATATATATATCCATTTAGGCACTCTGGCCTTTCCTTTGTGAATGCATCTCGGAATTCACAAGCCCTTCGTGAACACATTGAGACTAAAGGAGTTACTTGCTGTCAATCTTGTGCGGTCCGAACCATCAAATAAAAAATTCTGAGTGACATTTTGAAGTGCCTCCCAACCAATATTTGGTCTCATGTTGCTATGCTCTAACCTGCCACATTCTCATTTGCTCCAACAGGTTCCCGAAGTCCATGGGCTATCCCCACACCGCAACTCATCCAACATGCCAGGTCCTCGTGGCAGCAGCTCTTCTGCTGCTTTGATAGCAGCTAGCAGCTAGCATGTCTAGTGAGGGGTTGGCCCTGCTAGGCCCCCTACATTTCGATTTAGCACAAAAAGAGGCAGCTGTGAGCCGCTGAGAAGCACAGCTGCTGCGAAGACGTAAGCATTGTTCTGTGATTTATTATTGCTCTTTTTTCTTTTTCGACAGAACAGCAATGTTGGATTTGGGATCCGAGTTGCATCAATGTGGCTGGGAGTTCGCACAGCTTCTTGGTTCAGATTGAGCGGCAAAGGTTCCACTGATCTGGAACATGGAGTAAGGGCCAAGAAGGTGACCAAAGCTTTTTGCCTTTGCTATTGAGCTACTACTGTACTTTTTGACTTATATACACCCAACACCACCTGATAGTTTTGGAAGTGCGAAAGGGGTTCATTGTTTTGAATGCTGGCAGTGAGTTGCCAACTGCAACAATAGCAACTTTGCAATGGTGTGCGTGCAAAGGCAGCCACCCACCTTTTCAATTGCATCCTGATCTCTGAGGCTTTGTGTCAGGCACTACATGGGCTGCAATGTTGATGCTCAGCTGTAAGTGCCACTGGATTTTGTGGGATTTGCACAATGGCAAAAAGAGTCACATCAATCCAAGGAGACCTACCCCGTTGAGATGCAGAGCCACCAACGAGGACACGCCATAGGGAGCGCGGGGCAGGACACCTGACTGTACGAGAGGGAGACTGTAGACTCCATAGTGGCGTACCAAACAAGCTCTGATGCAAAATGTTTTCTCCATGGATTTGCATGGAGAATTGGGCACCAGATGTTCAAAATCAGACTTGAAAAGGTGTATTCGTGGCTCGAGCGTGCTCGCTGAAAGGGATTAGTTGTTGAAGCATTGCAATCATGTATGAGTTTTATAGAGAGAGGAACGCTTTGCAACATGGAGACAATGCATACTTACCTTTCTTTCTACAAGGTGACACCTTTCAAACATGTGAAGAAGACACACCTCAGAAACTCACATAGACAGCTGCAGAGGCCCGGTCACTGGCCATGGAGAAGGCCGAGGCAGCGGTGGTCGTTCGGCGTTCTCCAGGGAACCCTCGCACACAATCGGTGCAGATTTTGGATCCCAATGAAGTGTGGAGAATGCCGACGGTGCCCATCCGTGGCCGGGTGAACAGTCTTAGCCCACCATATTCGAGTCACAGCCAAAGTGCTGCTGTGATCCTGGCGGCGTTGAGTATCGGCGTCCTCATTGCAGACCGCTTGCCTCCAGAGCCATCCACTTGGGGCCAGAAGGCCTTCCGTGCGTGGATGTTTTTGCCGGCCATATGGTTGCCATTGTTGGCATGGGTTTTGAAAGTGGACCCCCGAGCTAGTGTTCCTCAAGCTCGTTGTCAGTGCTCCCGCCCACTGGCACGCTGCAAGCATGGTTGCATCTTCGAAGTGGCACCAAAGACCCGGCACTGCCGCAAATGCGACAAGTGTGTGGCTGGTTTTGACCACCATTGTCTTTGGCTCAACACATGCATTGGAACTCGGAACTATGGACGTTGGCTGCTTCTCTTGGCAGCGCTTTGCTGCTGGACCTTGCTCAGCTCTTGCATCTCTGCCTTTGCGCTCTTCCGCTGCCACGCTAGGGGGAGAACGCTCGCTGTGGGCCATCGGCCAGCCGTGTTGGTGACTGGCAGTCTAGCCACCTTGGCTACAACGTGGCTTCTCTTGCTCTTGGGATTGCACGTGTACTTTAGTGTCATGGGCATCACTACGCTGGAATGGGCCACTGGCGGAAACCAACTGAGGGGGCAACTCCAAAGGTGTCAAAGCCTCCAATTCTCCATTGTGAGCATGAGATGCCTGCCAATGCAGACCTTGCAGACACCCCTTACACCCCCCAAGAGGAATTTGGTGGAGGCTGCCGAAGAGGCTGTACCCGAAGTGAACACCATGAGGCGATCACATTGGTCAAAGCTTCGAGCAGCTGTCCTGTCAGAACCTTCACTGAAGACACCAAGTTCTTTCAAGTGGCGCAGGCGCTTGTCATTGTCTTCCGTGGCGGTGGAAGAGACATCTGAGAGTGAGGATGTGGGGGAGGATGTGGAATCATTAGATGATCTGACCCCTGCGAGGCAGCATTCAGCTTAGGCTTAGGGGAGTGAGTGGAAAAGACAGTTCTGTTGGCTCATTGGTGATAGGTTGCCATAGCTCTGGATGTGTTTAGCTGCTTAGCTGTGTTACCAACTTCAGCGGATGATTGGAATCAGAAAGCATCCAGCTTTTGGAGGATGGGGATGCTGAAGTCGGACCTGCGAAAGGCTATCCGCAGCTGGGACATGACTGCAAGCGATGGCTTGTTTGACTAGCGGCAATAAATGGAGATAATAGATGCTAATGTCAGTGGATCCAATTTTTTTCAATGGAAACTGTACAAGTCAGTAAGTACACTCTGGAAAAAGCTGCGATGTAGCCAAAACTTTCTGAGGCATACCTGTACCTTGGTATACTTGCATGGCTATTGTCGATGTGGCGAGAGCCTCAGGTGACAGGAAGGTCAGCATTTGGGACAACAACGTCCCATTCTGCAACTCCTGGTAACGTCTTCTGAAACTTTTCTTCGGCAACTTTCTGGTTTTGCGAAACTGCTTTTCAGCAAGCGCATTCTCCAGCAACTCTTTCGATCTTCCGAAACTATTTTGCATCATTCAGAACATTTTTCAGAAACTGCTTCACGATCTTCAGAAGCTATTTGGCAATCGGAGACCCTGCCGGAGACTCCCCCACCAATCCATTTGGGTCGTGAAATCATTCCATGTTAGGGAGCAGGGGTCGTTCGTGGTGGTCTATGTTAGGGCATACTTTTAATTAGCCAGGGATCTTAGAGGTGGCGCGACCTGGTCTATGTTAGCCCCAGACCTTTTTACCGGTTGAATCAAGTGGCAGGGTCATTCCCCAGCAAATTCACGGTTAAGGCATTCCATGTTAAACATCCGTGAAATCAGCCGTTTTCACCTATGTTTGTCTTCGGGAGCGTAATTGCTCTCTTTCAGGTCTTTCAAACATCTACTTGTTTTGGTGGTTCGCATTTGTTCCTTTCCATGCTGAGGCTCCGAGTACCTTCCTGGTGGCCCGCTGAGCTTTTGCATGCCTTGGGTGCCTGGCGGAGATCGAGCACGAGGACGCAGATCAAAGCTATTTAAATCATCGGAGTCCAAGTCTTCCTCAAGTTCCAGGACTTCGCGTCGTGTTGCCCACCGCGCAGTACTTGCGGCAGCCGTGGGGTGAGAGTGCCACCTCATGGTGGCCTGGTCACATTGGGAGAACACTGAAGCTGGTGGTAATGAGAACACTGCATGGGCTTGCTATGGCTTGCTCAGCAAGACTGGTATGTATAACATTGGATTTACGTAGTCGGAGTTGGCAGTTGGCCCAAATCGAAGGAGATTCCAGACCAAATTGGATTTCAGAGGTCGTTCAAAGGTCACCACTGCCACCACCACATTGTTTTGCTAAGGTATGGCTATGCCTCTCCGAACCACAATCGTGCCTTTGAGCTGCATTTGTTTCACTTTCGAGTCAGAATTTGCATACTCTTTGCCAATTGGAGGCATACTGTGCGATTTCTAGAATTGGTACTTTGCTATAACAGCTCCTGGTTGTGAATTCTGCCCAAACAGATCTGGGGGCTTGGAACGGGGCCCCTCGGAACATCTTGAAGGTTTCAGGGTCCAGCGCGTCAGCTTGCAGAGCCGTGCTGCTAGGGGCTCCAAGAAACAGTGCATCACTCTGCTGAATGTGCCTGAGGTAGGTGATCCGAATTCATTGCGCGCGACACGAGAGAAGTTAGATTGCCTTCTTCATGAAGAAGTCAGCAGATTAGGCGAGGATGGCGCCGTTCACAGTACAGGTTTGCAACGGTTGAAAGATGCGCTGATTTCTTGCCGTTTGAGCTATACACGAGCATGCTATCACAGGCAGCCTAAGAGTCACGAGTGACCATGGCCCACATTGTCATTCTCTGATGTGTCAAATCTGTGTGACTTTCTACTGTTTTATCATAGGGTCCTAGAGCAGGACCAGAACGGACCAGAGGGCCTCTTGAGTGCTTGATGCATTGCCCAGGGAGTGAATATTCAGACTGGACTTTTTCTTGGTTTCTGGAGGTGATGGCCGCTACGTGTTCCTTGGTGGTGCCTCTCAAGGCTGCACCACAGCACTAGATGCCTACATCCGGTGAGGGTCTGAGGGGCTTTGACTGCTTTGACTTTGATGCGTTCTGGTACCGGGGTGTCAATTCTCAGTTTCCTGGACTTCCCAGCGACGCCTCCCCCCATGAAGTCAAGCCCCATTTTTCCCTTGCAACAGATGCAGAGCCCAGTTTGAGGCTTGCTGTCGACTTGAAACTGGGCGGCTTTGTGGGTAGCATTGGTTTTGTGCCAACGGACTCCAAAGGCGAGCAAGAAGCGAGGTCGCGTTCAAGATTTGATGGTACGGGGCGACCTGGACGTTGTAGCCCTTGTTAGCAAGCATGCTGTACAAGCTTGGAAGGGGAGTTTTTATTTGAATTCTGCTGCGTCCAGCTGGCAGCTGACAATATCTTGCCTTTTCTTTGCAAGTCAGAATTGTCCTCCATGAGAAAAACGGGGAGGACTTCTTGTGAAACACTGCCACTGGAGGTTTCTATGGTGCGGACCGAGCACTTCGAACTCTGATGGCAGATGAGCAGCAGGTGGGACAACAACCCTCCATCGCAAGCGACCGACGAGAGTTGCAGTGTAGTAAGAGGTCCTTAGTGCAAGCTACCAAGAGGAGCGAGACCGCACAGGGAAATTTAGGGCTGTTCCTGTAGGAATGTCAATGACGGTTAACTATGGTTAACTGCAAACCACCGGACTTGGAAATGAAGAGATGGCTCAGATATGTAATTTTGAAAGCTTTCCTCAGGCTGCACAGCCGGTTTGGCTGCAATGTGCAATGGATGACTTTGTAGCGGTGCCCTGGAGGAGACGAACCCTGAAAGAGAGGATCAGCATCACCGCGTCACGAGATTTCATGATTCTTTTCATTGGTCCATTGTGCTTTGGCTTGTGCTTGGTCTTTGTTGGGCCTGAAACAAACTCAGATGGTTTGCCACACTTTGACCCTTTTGCAAAGCATGGTTTGTCATGGGCGGATTGGTTGTTTCAAGTTAAATGTACCTGTTCATGACTAGACCGCAGTATTTTGGACGAACTGGTGCAGCCAAGTCCCTGTCGAGGAGTGTCGTGGAGCCCTCCTTGCGGCGGGCCTCGAGGCCTGTAGAGTCCTTCAGTGAGATGACGTTTGAATCCTAGTTGATATGTTTGATCCTATCATTTGTGGAACATGAGATATTTGATTCATTTTGATCCTTTCATCCTTCCTCGAGGCCTGTAGAATCAATGCTCATATTTGGATCGTCGGTGTTCGTCAATTAATGGAGCCTTAAAGAGCATCCCATCTTCACGCGAGTTTGCGACTACGACGTCTTTGTTTGTGCTTTTTGCATTCGTTTTCCATATGTTCCCTGGAAGCAGTACTGATAAGGATGGTTCCAAGTTCCAAGCTGGCGCAGGCTGCCAGGCTTGCAGCTGCGCCAGGTGGCTGGACGAGGTCATGGGATAGAAGACTGGGAGGCGAGATTTGTGCCCAAAATTGAAAGGAAAGACACAACACATTGTCTAGACTATTGTTTACGGAAGCAGTGGTTTCTAAGAACACTTGAAAATAGTGAAGAGATTCTGAAAGGTATCTAGAACTTTCTAGAACTCACTTCAGCCAAAGCCTCCTCCGCAGGCCCACATTGTCAACGACCTCTTGCGCGCCCACGCGCCGTATGCCTACACCCGTGAAGCGAGTGAAAAGATATCCTCCAGACCACAGTAGGACGACTTCACCTTTCTTTGCGACTCACATTTTCCAACTCACCAAGGGAGATAGGTAGCACGGGATGGAACCATGGAGCTTTCTAACATCCAGCATCGCAGGAGGAATGCTCAGATGAGCAACTCCCTCACTGCGCAGAAGCTGTCAGGACCTTGAAGAGCTGGTCTTAAGAAGGACTTGAGGAACAACTGAGATATTAAAGTACTGTATATAAGTTTTTTGAGGTAAAGGAGGATCGGATGACTACGGTACAATTTCAAAGGTACAAAGGCGGCCTTTTTTTCACATGACTCAGGTGGCCTCTTTGGTCTCCTTAGACGGCTTGGCTGAATACCTCGTGGCCGGGTGGCTCAGAATGACCGTGAAGAAGCAAATGTGAATCCGTTGAAGGGAAGCAATTTGTACTTTTTCGCGTGCCTGAACGTATTTCATTCCAACAAATGGCTCGTCGGCTGATTAGCTGGATCCGGTTGCCTCAAGCATGTGCAGAAACCCTGACCCTGATTGCGAATGTTTTAGAAGGTGTCACCGGGTGATAGCATCCACTGACATCAGTTGGCATCGCCCTGAATCCTATCCCCGAGGATGCGCTGGAAAACGGAGTGGCTAGTCCAAAGCCTGAGCGACTTGCAAGGCAAAAGGGGTGAGGAACGGTGAGGAAAACCTGCTTTCGTAACTGTCGACAGGCACACCGAATTGAGGACTTTGGTTGCCTCTGGGTGATTTACCCAGATCCCTCCGGAGAGTTGCGCTGTGCAAGGCTGGGGTGGGCACCAGCGGCCACGGCATTGCTGAGCAAGACACCTAGCGGAGGCAGAGTCCAACCTTGCGCAGCTGCCGGTGACGCAAAGGTAGCTTGGAACCCAAACAATGTATTCACACAATTCACACGAAGTTGATAGTTTTAATGTCATAAATTATTGCCCACTTAAGCAGCCTCAGTGACTCAGAAACCTTTGCCTAGTACCTATCATACACATGGCTTTCTGATGCTTTATATGTCCTATGTTACACAGATTGACAACTTTTGTGCAGATGCATTCTGGACGTTTGCACAAACATCCGTTCATCAAAGCTCTAATTTTAACATCATCCAACTCTTCCACTTGGCCAGTTCAATGTGGCATAGACAACATCGAAAACGACGTCGCATCCATCGGTTACCCTTCCTCTATCCTGATTCATCGGAAGACGAGAAGACATATACAGTGGCTTGACTCGACCGAGCAAATCTCATTTGGGCAGGTGCAGTGGAACTGGGCGGGGGCTCCGGTGCCGGCTTTCAGGTGTGGTTTGCTGTTCGTGTGTCACTGTCAGTGCTCTTGCGTTGCTTTATATACTCAGTGACTCAGTGTAATGACATGCAATGACCCTACGATGACTGTCATGGGTGCAGACTGTTCCAAAGTTGAACATGCACAAGTCATGTTGGTTCCTCTGCAGGTAATCTGCGAGGACCGCGGCATCGCCACATTGGGTGGCGGCCATGGGACCCAGCTTCAACTTGAAGTTCAGCCAACAAGGCAGCTTTTATCCTTAAATCTCAAACGGACAGGTTCTCGGTCCGCTCAAGGGTTTTGCTGCTTGCCCAACGCAGATCTGCCGTCACCCGATGTTCAACCTTTGATGACATGAGAGCGCATCAATGTTCAACTCTTTGCATTTTTTTGCCAAGGTGGAGGTGGTGGGGCGTTTGGTTGGATGCAACCACACGTAGATGGATACCTAGGCCTGGACCCGTTGGATCCTCTTGGACCCTGTTAGGACTGGACCCGCTCAGAGGCTCATGTGACTCATCTGCAGCTTTGCATCTGCACCTCATAAAGCAAACATTTTGGGACGATTCGTGTCGGTTCATTTAGGGACTGCACATGCTGATTGGTGGAAGTTATCTTCACTGATCCTGCAGGTGCCCGCAGATTAGCAGGGATACCAAGTTTTAATCGTGTTGATGTGCAGGTAGCTGTTCAAGGAAATCTGACAAGAGTCACCACGATCCCAGGATCCTACTTATCTTCCACTATATTGGAACCCCATCTCGCTGCGTTTTGGATCAAGAACTGAACATTCGAGAGAACCAAGAAGATTTTGCAGGATGCAACAAAATGACATCGCACAGAATGTGTAGAATTTTAGGCTCGCTTATCTTCAGAGCTTGTACTGTAACTCTTACATCGCCACACGGCCACACGTTCTTTTTCTTTGCAAGAAAGCTTCTGATGCGACTGCCTTGGCATGGGCTGTACCTCCAGTGCTGACAAGTATGGCACCGTCGCCACTCCAAGTGCCAAAGCCACACCGGCCACGCCCGCTTCGCCCGCGTCGCCTGCGTCGCCCACCTCTGCTGAACCGGCCGCGTCGCCGGCGGGCGCCGGAGCGGCAGGAGCCGGGACCACTCGGCGCGGCTCCCGGGTGGTCGAGGAAAACACCGACGTCATCGTGGGAAGCCGACGCGCTGCACCGATGGTGGGGCTCAGGCAGGATGCTGATGGAGATGAAGCTCATGAATTTTTTGTGGAGGATCCCAAGACGGGCGAGATGCGGCAAGTCACGAGGGATTTGGTGGAGCTGGGGTGAAGGGGGACAGAAGTGCAACAGGCAGCAACAGAAGATTGCCTGGGCATTAGATCACCAAAATTTGAGGTGAGACATGTGCTGTTTCACAAGAGTGCATGGGATGAGTCAAAGTGTTCCGACTCGTCATAGAATCTTTTTTTTTTTTTTTTTCGGGGATCTTTTGAGTTTTGGATCTGCTAAGCAGCTGCACCAAGCTTCTTGCTCCACGGAAAACAATAGCTTGACCGCATTCATAGTTACATTGATAGCTTGCAACACATTTGACAGCATTTGGCATGTGAAATTCAAGCCAAGGCGAAGAATGAGACAGTTGGAGGCACTGGAAGTGTGTGTGCAAGCTTGGACTTGATTTTACTTCATTTTTGAGATCACTTGCCATTTGACCTTCGTATTGCAGGCAAGGGTCTCTTGTCGCGTCTGTGGCTGTCCTTCTCGTCTCAACAGGTGGCGCTGGCGGTGGCATGCAGCTCTTCTTCCCGGCGAATGTGACCGCACGACCTTGGGAGGTGCACAATGGGGGCTGAAGACTGCAAGTCTGACAAGTCAGGTCTGCTTTGGAAGGATTGGACTCGAGGGTTTTGTGTAGTCCACTTTCTTCATTCTGTTTAGCTTTCTTTCGTCAGTGTTGGTGTTGTTCTGCCAAGCTGCGGTCTTGTTGGTCTCCCAACCGTTTGGACGCTTTCGCACCTGGCATTTGCCTCTTAGACGAAGTGTTGCAGGCGGACCACTGGATCTCCTGGGGATCCGGTGGTGGCCATGGATGCCGGGACCTTGCACTTGTGGCGCTGAAGAGGTACCGAAACTCATCATCCTCGATAATCCTGGATCCTCAATGCAGATTTGATGTGCCCCTTTATGCTGAAAGGTGTGTTGGGCTGATAGTGCAGATTGGCTTCGTGGGTAGACGAATGACCCAACGTTTGGAGCCCGCTCGGAAATCGCCATTGCAAGCCGCTGAGGCGGCTCGTGCAAAGCTGGTGACACCTTCTGTGAGGAGTCTGGGCCGGTCTGGGTGACAAATTGGTACCTGTTTCATCATTTGCCACTTTCAACGCGCCATCTGCGGCTGGCCACGTTCTCTGCAAGTACATCATGTTATGAACAAAGATGCAGCGGGTCACCAGTTGGTTCTTTTTCTAAGGGCATCGTACACAGCTGCTCCCACCAAAGGTCGTCCCAAACAGCAGCCCGCCTCACATGCTTCATGATCTTTACGTTTTTCCTAGAGATGAATTCATTCATGCACTTGTGTCTTGATAGAGTCACTCAGTGCTGGCAGTTTGGAGGAGTCCCCCTTGCGAATCACTTGTGGTGCCAAGTCTCCCTGGCTTGAGCTTGACCAATGAAGACGGGAAGCCGCCAAGCATTCAACAAGATTGTCGGATCTCCATTTGGATTTCTTCTTCAGCTCTGACCCCCAGCTGCATGGAGCTTTCCCGAGAACACATTGTCCAGCCCATAAACTTGACCATAAACAACACTGTTGGGGATGCAGCCCCAGCATTTAAGGCTGGAGATAGACATTATCTTGGTAGCAAAGAGCGCCGCCAGGATGGATGATACTGGTGCCATCGGGCAAGCAGAAGGCTATCAGGACGGCATGGGCGCAAAGCAAGTTGGGCGGTCCAACGCGATTCTGAAAGAAAAGAAGGATTCGATGGCTCGATGCCCAGCCCCTCCTTTGTACTTTACATTGCGGAGATCGAAACCCAGACACATACCAAGAGACACTATTTTTTGTAGGCCTTAAGGCCTTAAGGGCTTTGTGTGGGCTCAGTAGAATGGGGTGTGGGGGAGGCGATCAAGAACTGGCGTGTGGGAGTCTCTGACTCAGCAAGATATCAAGAGCAGGTTGCAGCTTGTCGAACAAGACATTTTGGATCCTAGACAAGCACAGAATTTGGTTCTTCTTCCTACCGATCCATCCTGACCTCAGGTTTTGCGTGCCTGCTACGATGCTGGGCGATTGGCCGTCATCGGTGGTGGAGGTGGGGGGGTTTCTGCCTCAGTCACCTCTCAAGGAGCTTTTAAAACAGCATTGGCCGAGCCCGCCCATTGCCTCTTCTGGTAGTAATCCAAGACGATCCCAGAGTCACAGCTCCACTGAACTGAGATTGTGTAATCTTACTGCCACATATATATATATATATATATGTACAATATACACAAACCTCTTGGTTTTAACATGATACACTGGAGCAGAACATTGAACATTATGAATCCATGCCACTGGGTCGACTATCCTCACCATGGATCCACCAAGGCTGGAGGTGCACGCTGCTGTGCTTCCATCCCCAGGTGGCTTGGGATCATCGACAGATGTGGTTCTGAACTGCTATGATCTCTTGGTGTGTTGACCACTGCTGCGCATAGCATCTTGAGCATCATGGTATGGCAGAGGTTTGCTTGAAGCAAGTCTGAGCCAAGCTAGACACAGCGTTCCAGTCTTCTTTCAGACTTGCTGACTGGCTTCAAAAAGACAATTCCATCTCTAGGGTGAGAGTTGCAAAATAGGTGGCTGCAGCAACTACCATTTATATAATGAAGCCTACGGCGGCCCAAGAACATGTTCAGCCATATCGACAGCATGTGCTTAATGTTAGCCTCTCTCGAGCTGAAATGACTGGCCCTTCTCTACTGGGAGATGTGTCCGTAACACACAACTGGGAGAGGGCCTCTTCGGTCTATTGTTGTCGCTCTCAGCACTTCTGTCGACCTCGGGAATTGCGCTATGGTCATGGGCAACTGTCCCCCGACCTGGCATCAAAGTGGGTGACCTTGGACCGGGATGAGGCGACGAATGCATTCTTAGAGAACTGTTTGGCAGGTCACTTGGGTCCCAGACTTCTGGACATTTGCAAGTTGGCTCCTTTGCGTATCCTTCGTTGGTACTTCTCCGCCACGGACGCCAATGCGCTGTTGGGCCGCGGGGAGATGTTCGTGTTGAGCTCGGACCAGGCCCAGCGCTTGCTAGGCGCTGGCACCAGTGGTGTGTTGCTGGATATCGGCGCGGGCGCAGGGCACACCACCTCAGAGCTCGCTCAGCTGTTCGACCAGGTCGTTGCTACAGAGGTCAGTGGACCCATGGTGACCAAGCTGGAGGCGAGAGGCTTTCCAGTGCTGCAGGGTTCAGACCTCTCTGGGCTGCAGGAGCAACTCGTGGATGCGATTTGCAAGGATTTCTGTAGTAGTGTCATTAGTCCGTGTAGAGTGTAGAGAGGATACAGGTGTTTCTATATATATATATATCTCTCTCTCTATCTACCTAGATCCTGGGTGACCTCTATGTTAGATCATCATTCACCCAATTTTTTTGCTTTCCATCAAAACAAGGGTCAACTGGATTCGAGGTATATATACACACCTTTTGAGATTCAGGCCTTGTTTTGGCTAGAGAGAACCGTGGAAGGACCTAGCGGCGCTCCATGGCATTGCTCTGGGTGAGGGTGGTTTGGTGGATTGCATTGCTTTGATGTGGCTCAGCCAAGTGAGCCTGGCTGTTTTTTCATGATGGTCTTTTCATTGAAAGCGAGGAATGTCCTTTGCAAAAACTGAGGAATGTTTTGGACCGTTGTGACCGTCCTTTGAGCCTTTTGGAAGAGATACGAGAACGTTTAAAGCCGGATGGCAGGCCGGGAGACTGAGATTGGGTGCGGTCTCCAACCTAAGAAGCGTGAGCTATCCTGCGTCCTAGGTAGTAGCGTTTTAGTAGCTAGTAGCTATTAGTAGCTACCTCTTCCTTACTTCATTAAGTAGGCGCCTACTTAGTTAAGTAGGGGGGGAGGGGGTGGAAAGAAGGACCTTTAGGCTAGGAACAATAAGCTATACTAGGGGCTCCTGGCCTTACTACTAGGAGCAAGGACGCTACTAGGGGCTCCTGGCAAGAAGCTACCAGGGGCTCCTGGCCTTACTACTAGGAGCAAGGACGCTACTAGGGGCTCCTGGCATCGCTGCTAGGAACAAGAAGCTACTAGGGGCTCCTCCCAAGATGTATGCCGACTTGCAGAGGTACCTGGTTGAGGTTATCCGCGTGCGAGCCAGGTTGTTGCTGGCCGTGGTTCTTCCCTTCCGGCCCTTCGTGGAGAATCTCGGAATGACAAGCTGTGGGTGTCCTAAAGACCATTTTAGAGGCACGAAAGGAGCAATCAGTGGGTGTCCTCATCCTCACGCACGCTCGTCTTCGCATGAACTCATTGGGAAAGGCGTTCATTTTGATGCGCTTCGCGTTTGTATTTCATCTTTGCATGCACTCATTTTTGCGGCTGGTCCCATTCCAGCCCATCCAAGTAACACGCGCGTCCGTCGTGAGGCGAATGCTAGGGTCTAGGGTTGTTCCAATAGGCTCCCAGAGAGTACTGTAATTGTTGCGGATGTTTTGGAAGGAACAACCTCTATTTCTTGGCAGTCCCAAACATCAAAAGTGGACAACAAACATGTTTGGGGGGTTGAAGTGTTCGTCCAGCTGTCGATGACGCAACCGTCGCTTGTCCGGATCAACTTGAGGAATGGGATTTTTCATTTGCAACCTTCAGAGCAGCTGAATTTGAGCCGCAATGCAATCTTTGAGTATGCAATGGAGGAGATATGGCTGTCAGTGCTGAAGCCCATGGGTTTTCACTTGCAGGCAATTTTCCTGGCTCATGGGCATTTCAGAATCAGAATGTCAGGATGCAGTACGATCAACTACTGTGTCCGAACTATCCCTTTGCTGATTTAAAGGTGGAGTAGGTTTGGACACAAGCACCTTGCTTTTTGGGGACACCTCAGTAGAAGATCTGCAAGTGAAATCAGCTGAATTATGTGAAATAGATAGAGACAGGCCGTGGCCCGCGTGCCCTATCTTTGCAAGGGAGACTTGCATCTCGGCCAACGTGAGATAGGATGAAAGCGGATGACGCAGATATCAAAGTGAGATAGGATGAGATAGGTGGGTCGGTGGGCCATTCAGACGAACGCCGCTCGATCATTTGGATTTGGATTCAAGCCCAGGTTTGCCAACGTCTATGTCTTGGATGATGCCATCTTTGTGCTCAGTCGTGCTTAGCGATTGGCGGAAGTGAACGAATCTGTTGGTGGCACTATCAACGAAGGCTCCAGACGAAAATCTCTGGAATGTGAGGGAGTTGAGATCCGTCACCTCCTTCGCCTGGATTAGCTCGTTGAGTTCCAAGGAGAGTCTTTGGAGACATGCGCACCCAACCCAGGTGGAATCATATCAATGCAAGAGCTTCGAACTTGACTGACAGATCTGCATTCAATGCTGTCAATGGCAATCCTTTCAGCAGGGTGAACCATTTTAGCGTCCCTTCACAGCCGACCGACATGCTTTGTGCTCCCCTCTTCTTCAATCCAATGCGGCCAATAAGCCTTTGTATAGAGTATAGTGGCTTGACTTGATCCGTGAAGAACACCGAAGGAGGTCCTTTGCATTTCCATCATCCTAGGGCCAAGGCACCTGCGCATTGATGGGATTGATTGATACTTTACTAGTTCTGGGCTTCCCCAGAGTCCCATCCTGGCTCTGAGCCCGGTGATCAGCTACATGCGTGGAAGTTTCTCTTCAAAGCAACCTGGATTTTGCTACCTTCGCAACTGATGACCGCCATCTGTCATGATTCACGATCGACAGTTTTTCGGATGTGCAGCTGGGTTGTACTTAGAGCTCAGAAGCTTTGAGAACCCGATGCGCTGGGTATGCACCACGTGTGCAGGCTGAAGTACGGCTTTGGCTTCCGGGCGGAGCTACGCCCGCGAGGTCGTGGTGCAGCCGCGCCGGGCATGGAGGTGCGATTGAACCATCACAGATCTGCAATCGTCAGCTACCGTCCTTAGTCAAATTGAGATAGAGTATGTCACACACCATGTCAGCTGAAGCTGGTGGGGCATGAAATGACCCCTCGACTTCTGTGCCATCTCGCCATCCACCATCTCTGATGGGGGTTGGAATTGAGCAGATGAAAGGAAGGGCCTGCCTGGCCAGGACACGCAGTGTTGCCCTGATCTGGCTGGCGGGGCCCAAGCAGTGAACGGGGTAGTCAGCTTCCACTGTGGTTGCTGTGTTACATGGTTGCGTCGCAGACAGAATCGATCACTCCAGTCTAAAAACCTCAGTGCAACTGATTCCTAGTCAAGTATCTTGTTTCGCAGAAGCACAGGTGATCAACCGAAAGCATGATCACTCCACAGGCTGGAACAGTACGACGAGCACCACAAAGCTTGGGAGTCAGTTGGCACAGGCTGGGCGGGTGGTTGCCCAGCAACCCACAGCCACTGGGACTGTGTTCTTTTTCTGTTTAACCGGTACTCTCAGAGTCAGAGTTTACTAGGACAAATGGCTGGAAAGGCGTAAGATTCAAAGAATGAGAGTATATTGTCATTGTTGCATGACATCATATTCAATTAAGCTTTTTGCAGGAGCCTGTAGTGGTGGCGTCCACTGAGTCCGCTGTCCCCCAAACCCCGCAGGCCCAATAGGCCTCACGCTTCCATAGTGGTTTTTTGCAGGGAATAGCGACGACCTGGAACCGACGGCTGTCAGTCGCCTTCGGTGGCTTGGGCGGACAGCCCGGAGCTCTGAGTGCTGTGAGTATTACAGTGATTACAGTAGGGGAAGGGAGATCTTGAGATTTGGTGAAAGCAAAGGCAACGTCTTTCAGATGCTTTTGCCTACGTCACATGAGCGTCAACACTGAAAGAAATGCTTTCATGGCCTCTCATGGCCTTTTAGTTTGCAGCTAAGGGCTCTTCCCGACGAGCTGGCACCCATGGTGGATCCGTTTGCCCGCGAGCCTGCAGCCTAGATTTGTCGAAATTCTGACAAACAGCGCGTGTGATGTGAGAGATGTCTTTGCAAGCTGAACATAGAAGTAACTTCATTCAAGTTGTATTCTTCACCCTAGCTGAGAGCGGGAAGAAGCCGGGGACAATTTTGTTGTCTTTGCATACTGTACACTACATGTGGTAATGAGTCAGAGGTTTGGTTCCCACATACTGTTTGTGTACATCTTGGGATTGCTTTCCTCTCTGTTCCCACAGGGGGTGTTACAGGAATACTGGCCATCAACCACCTGGACATGCAAATCGACGGCCCTTGCTGGAGGACAGGGGCGGACCGAGACAGATGATCACGGACTTGTTGCGGGGGACATTCATCAAAACAGCGTCTCTCACACTCGTTTTTTTTCCGCGCGAACCTTTGAATCAAGTACTTGGAGAAAAGCAGACAGACTTCAGCTGGAACTGCGTGCAACATGTACACTCATGTACTCACTTTGTACGGCTTCATGTGATCAGTCTTCTGAAACCGTGAACTTGATTTCAGTCTTCTGACGCCGTGATTCAAACTGCAGCGATTCAAGTTGTGCTTTCATTGTGAAAAGGAGCTCATGAAGCAGCATGATAAACGGCTAGGCGGGCTTGGAGGATAATGTCAAGCGAGTTGTGCTGATGCCCAACTTCCACAACGACAGCCTTTCCATTGAATGAGGTTGTCGTTTTTGACATGATAAGCCTGTTTCACTACTGGAGCTCAGTTCTTGTTACAACACTGAGAGTCAGAGGTTCCTGGGCAAGAAAACAAACGAGCCGTGGTGAGAACGCATCAGTTTTGGCTCAGAAGATCGTTTCATGGTTACCATCGCTACTAGTAACAAGGGCATTACTACTAGTAGCTAGAAGCTACTTGTAACAAGGGCATTTGGTGAGAAGCCCTTGACATGTTTTGCCATACCCATTCGACCCCAGAGACCATCCTTCGTCCCATTCGACCCCAGATCGTCACTCTGCAAGTGCATGGGTCTGGATGGGCCGCAGCCCTTTGTTTGCGTTCTTGATGGGCTTTAAGCCACCTGAGCAGCTGAGACTTGGCTCGGTGTGCGAGCGCATGCGAGCGCCGACCGTGCGGGGTCCCTTTTTTCCCGCAAGACCTTGAGCGAACAAAGATTTGGATGGAGCAAGGTGGTAGAAACTAGGCTCTCTCTATATATGCTTTCTATCCCTTTAGTGATGTGAGCTTTCACCGCTCAAAGTCTTTTGGTTCGAGCGGTGGTCAATGAGCTTGACCTTTGCTCTTGATCTCCTTCGAGAGCTCCGCTGGGCGTGGCCCGTTCAGTGCAGCTCCTCTGGCCTCAGCCTTCCCTTGGTGCTCTTACTCCTCATCCTGGCTTGCTGCTTGGGCTGCATCTGTGGGGGCCTCGTGGTTTTGACTGCGCTCTCGGCTTCTTGCAGAAGAGTTCTAAGCTGGCTCATTTCTGGGTGCGCTGCCGCTCTGGTCGATCCTCTTCCTCAAGGCGACACTTTGAGGCGCAGGCTAGGGCAGTATCGTGCTGTGCATGGGGCCTGAGCGCCAGCTGGACCAGCTAGTTGTGGAATTTGGGTATCTCAGGATCCGAGTTGAGAGAGCAGGAGGTTATCAAGCAGGCGCTGGCAGCACCGCAGCGCCTTCTACTACAGGGTCCCCCCCTCAGGGTGCCCTTGCAGGCCTGCGCGGGCCACAGTTGAGCAGAGCTCAACTACTTCAGCAGCGGCCTCTGATCCTGGATCTTGGGAGCCTGTTGCGGCTGGAGCTTCAGCTTTTGCGCCTCACACTCCGGAGTGGGAGAGGGCCCTGATTGCTGCCCTCACTCCGGAAGAGATCGAAGGTCTGGATTTGAGCCCGGTCACTCATTTGCTGCCGCGCATTCGCAGCAGTAGCAACGGCTGGAGCCCACTCGGACGTCTGGGTCGAGCATTGAGAGCTGGAGTGCAAGCCTGGCGCCAGTGGTCAGGCCGGTTGGACTGACCACTATTTGACCTTCAGAGATCAGGTGCTTGGGCGCCACGGTGACATCCACGGAGACGCAGTGTGCCACGCCTTCCCCTCGCGTGCTGAGGCGGAGGCGTACCTCATTGGTGCTCAGCGGCCATTGCGCCGACCTCAGACGAGTTGGGACTACGTGCCCTGTGGGATTCTGTCCCTCCCTCAGGGCAGCTGCCAGCTCTTTTCTTGGTCTTGCCGGCCAAGGAAGATGGGACAGGGTTGCGGGTCACCGCTTTTTTGGCGAGGATTCGCCCTGGCGGCTTCATGGTGGTCCTACCAGACTTTGTCGAGGTCACCTAGTTTTTGAGAGAGCAGTGCACCTCCGATGGTTCAGAGGCTTGTGCCATTTACCCCGCCGAGGTCCTCATGGAAACTCCACGGGGCAGAGTGCTCGCAGATGGACCATGCATTCTGGTCGATTTGGTCTGGGAGATGGTTGCCTTGTTCATGCGAGCTCATCCCTTGCGCAGTTCAAGTACGTTCGAGCTCTTGAGATTTGCTCTGAACGACCAGCCTTGTCGACCTCGACGTTCAGCCCTGCAAGCGGTGGCCGAGCAATGGATTCACGAGGTCATGGACGACGATACAGCTGGAGATTATGTGACAGGGCTCTCAGAAGAGGAACTCCTTGTGGAGGAAGATCCGGCCGGCGCTGGAGGAGATGGCTCAGTGCACCTCGACGCTTTGCAAAGAAGGGTGTCAGAGTTAGAAGCTTTGTTGAGGCAGCAATCACCTGCCGCCGCCACTCCTCCGGCCAGACGTCCTGCGACTTCAGTGACACCAAGCCGAGGAGTCTTATTCGATGGAGCTCGAGCAATACCCAACACCGAGCCTCGAGAGGAAGCTTTGGCCAGACTGCGAAGCCTGGCGGGAGCGGCTCCGATGCGGTTCTGTGCACACGAGCGAGCCCAAAGGGCCCAGAGACCAGAGCAGGTTTTGGAGTCACTGCAGCAGGAGGAAGGCCTAGAGGCTCTCGAGACTGGCGAGCTCGAGGAGGGCATCAGAGATCTGGAGGCTACAGTTCAGGTGCAGCAGCTCTCACTCCTGACACGTCAACAGCAGCAGCAAAAGCAGCAGGACCCGATTTCAGCCGCGCTCAGCGGTGGTGGGGGAGAGTCTTCAAGCGCGGCCAGTGCAGGGAGCAAAGGATGTATGGCCAGGGAGGCCTTCATTCGCCTGATGGAGGACTTGCCCAAATTCTCCTCCGTCGTGATGGCAAATGCGGCCCGCGAGCTCGGGATAGAACT